TGGTGTAGACAGTGGTGATAATTACCCACCCTTCGACCGCTTATGCCTCGAAAGGATAGGTATGGCAGAACGTGGATTCTTTCTCAACTGAAAAGGAGAAAATCAGCCAGAACAGAATCCTCTGCGTGGGAGGTTAAGCGACATCGTCAAGTGATCAGTGGACCTTGTGCGATCCCTTTCTTTAGAAGAGAGCATCATGGGAGAAGAGTGGGATATGGAGAGGTTCTCCAGGCAGGGGAGGAAACACTTGAATGTGTTGTTACCGCCAGTAAAACACAGCCAGACGTGCATTTGACATGAACGTCTTTTTGTCACAAAAAGTGAAGTGGCCACATGAGTAGGGTGGCACAGTGACAATTACAGAGGCAAGCAGAGAAGAGGGTCCGTTCGGTGGGCGTGGAAACTGTTATGGTTGAAACCGGGAATGTGCCCCAAATGGGCTTGTGATTTGAGGGCTTGGTCCCAGCTGGTGGCACTGTTTGGAGCAGTGAAGAAGCCTAGCTAGAAGTAGAACATTGGGGGTCCCTTGTACCTGGTTTCTGGGTCCTGTAAATTATGCCATAGACCAAGGTGCTCTGTCTGCCATGCCTTCTTTCTCCGTGATGGGCTAAACCCAGGGAAATCATAGGCCAAAACAAATTTGTCTTCTTTTTGAACCCAAAACCTATTCCTCACTTTACGTGGTTTCTGTGAGGTTCTGACGTCCCAGTGGCACACAAGTGATGGATTCAGCAATACCCCCAAGGTACCCTCATGCCCTTACTGAACACACAGGAGAGAAAGCCAGGTAAATACCATGTTTTATTGGGTCCCATTAACCCTGAATAAAAGCCAGGTAAGTTACAGAATGCACTCAGCAGATGTGGAGAATCATTTAGAAGCCCAAACAGAAGCAGCCTGGGATGGGAAACAAAGACAACAGAGACTGAGGCCAGGAGAAGTCCCAGGGCAAGAGGAGACCCAGGAAGACTCAAGCTAATTGTCTCTGGCCAGCTTGATTGTTTTTGTTCCTATGGCCAGCCAACAGGACAACAAAAACACCTAATGCCTGAGCCTATTAGAGCTCTAACGCCTGAGTTCTAATGCCTGAGTCTATTACAGCTACACTCTTGGTAAAAGAGAATGGCAGATCCCCATGGTCCTGAGTTATCTGGGGAGGCTCTAAATGCAGTGGAAGAATTCAGACCAGAGGGTGGCAGGGGGAGAACAGACACAGCAGAGAAAACAATGGGCCATGGATCAGAGTGACAGCCATGCAGAAGCCTGCAGAAGCCGAAGGAACAAGGAATGGGTTCAGCAAACCAGTCCTGTTAATGGCTTAAGAACTGATTTAAGACCTTTGACCTCCACATGTAGGGGATTAAGTCTGATCTTTTTTTTAAGCCATTGTGTTAGGAAAAAGTTGTTAAAGCAACAATAGTTAACTAATAGAGTCCTTCATCCTGTTTCCAAAACAAAGGATGGGATGAGATGCCAGCTTTGGGTAGGTCATTAGGTCCTGAGGATGCAGCCCTTGGGAATAAGATTAGTTCACACACACACACACACATATATATGACCCTAAAGAGTTCTTATCCTTGTTCTATCATGCAAGGACACCAGGCTATCCCAAACAAAATCATCATCTCTGTCATAAATTCTTAACTTCCTTTTCTACCACCATCAAATGAGGACACCAGGTTAGCCCAAATGAGGCTTTCCCTGTTGTATAACTTCTTTCTCTACTTGGGTGGGTATGTTGAAAATCAGGGTCCTGAGGTGGTTGGCTCACTTGGGGAGACTCCCTCCCCCAAACCACCTTCAACTCATTACAAGTAATCACATTTTTTCATAGGGAAGTTTGATTCTAAATCTTACAAAACCATGCAGAAAGTAAAAATTAGTCATAACCCTAGCCTTCAGGAACAGCCTGCCACTGTTACTATTCTGTTTTCTAAATTTGTTGAGTTCCCTGAAACTAAAATCACTTCTGACTGAAACCCCGAGCGTTCCTTTCGAAGCCATTATTAGAAACTAGCGAGGATGACAAAGCAGATAATTAAAATCAGCGCTGTGCTGTCCCGGAGACACAAACAGCAGCCCTCAGGTCTCTATATCATAGCAACAACTGCCAAAATGAACTCGGCTCTTGACTGCAAGGAGAGGAGAACGAGAAGCAAGCGAGCTCTTCAGGTTCCACTGTGGATCGCCATCATCAACCTCAAGGGGGAAGGAGAGCAAGCACGAGAGCCTGCCACTCATCCCCAGCATCCATGCAAAAAGCTGGGTGTGCCGGCACGCACCTGCAACCCCAGAGCTGGGCAGGCAGACACTCACAGGCCAGTCACTCAAGCTCATCACTCCCCAGGCCCTGGTGAGAGACGCTGACTCAAAGAGCAAGTGGAGACTGAATGAGGAAAACATCGGATTTCAACCTTCACAGCGCGCACACACACACACCCTTAGTATACCCGGTAGCCAACACTACAAGAGAATGAATCACTCAGCTGTAGGCTAGCCTCTGCTCTCCTAGAATGGAGGTAAGAAGCAAACACACCCACCCTTCCTGGTATTGGAGCACAGAATAGCCACAGATTAGGTCAGAGCTCCAGTATACACCGTGACCGAATGTGGCAGTGACCTTTGAGAAAGATGCCCCATCGAACGAGGAGAAACAACAGAAGTAACTGAGTATGTGACGTTACATGTCACATCAGAGGGAGATAGCACACAGACCCGCTGCCCTTACACTCTGCCTTGCCTCGAGCCCAAAGACTTGGGACTGAACTCTTGAGCCAAGGCAAACCTTTCTTCCTTAGCTTGCTTTCTCTCATGCATTTTGTTACAGTGATGGAGAATAACGTGCAGGGGCCCATAACTTCACTGGAGTTAAGGGGGATCGTAAAACCCAGGGGCTCAGGAACTCATTTGTCCTCGCATGTAGAGGTGGCACACTAACTCAAGTGCCCTCAAGTGTGTCCTCACACTCCAGAGCACTCCAGAGCCAGACCATCCATCAACAAGCCTTCTTTCTTTTTTCCACACTATGATACAATTTTTTAAACAAAATGTCATCCTCAGGATGTACAAAACTGAACCAGCAAAGACAAAAACTTCAGAAAAAAATCAATTATCCATTAAGTCATTGTGGAAAGTCTATCTGAAAACTCGGGGTCGTGGGGAATGTCAACACTGCACCTAAATTTTTAATAAACCATAAAGGATGGTGTTAAAAAGGAGACCTTTTCAAAGGCACCTAGCCCTGGACAGGCTCTCAAGATGACTCTTGTCAGAGAGTGGCGTGCTACTGACAGGAAGCGTGGGTGAGTTATTCTCTTCAGACTAAAGCAGAAATCCGAGGCAGGAGAAATGAACCCTGCTAGGAACTTCAGTTAGGGGATTTTATTTTTCAGATGGGATCTCACGTAACTCAGGCTGGCCTCGAACTTGCTATGTAGCTAAGCGCCCTTCTGTCTCTACCTTCCAGCATGCTGGGACTGTGCCATGGCCGACAGGATGACCTAGGCAACCCTGTATCTGTAATGACTGGTATTTCACAGACTGGGAGACTCTGGAGCCCTCAGACTTCCAATAGGTCATTTAAGATACTGTGGGGAGCATGATGGGAGCCTCCAACACAGATCTTCTCTGGGCATTGTGTGGAAGGGTCCCATGTATGACTCCATGGGAAGACACTCTGAACGGAGAGCTTAACCAGGATGTGTGTATATCTGCCTCAGAGAGGGGCTAAAACACCGAGAAAGAAGCGGGAGAGAGATAGGCAATGAGGACAGCTCTAACAAAAGCAGCCCGTGTGTGATTAGCCAATGGAAACTGCTGTAACTGCAATGGAAATTACTAGAGAAACATGTTTTTCTCCTCCCAGAGAAAGAGCCCAACTTATTCTGGGGCATGGTGTTTGAGGCAGATTCCATATGCACTAGATATAATAACACCGACAAGGCCACACACGCTGTCTTCTTCATGCAGATAGCAGAGTATCTGAGTTCTCCAGAGGGAGAACTTCATCCCTGCCGTGTTCTCCGCTTCTACAAAACAAATGCCAGGAGATGGCAGAATCACATCTCTATGAGCCTCACGAGAAGAATGTCACCTTAGAGAGCCATCATCCAATGACCCCCCCCACCCCCCGATCTGTCAGATGCTCAGCGGGCCTGAACACAGCCTATGGTTGGACGCATGCTTGGTGGAAGTCTCAAAAGAAACCAGCTGGCATATTAGTCCCATCTCATCCGTGAGGAAGCCGAACAGTGTTTGGAGACAAACTCATCAGCGGGAAGCAGAGCTGGGGTTCCAGAATGTGTCCCCAGCCGCTCGGCATCCTTCAATCATTGCATTTTTTGTAGTAGCTTTATTTTGTTTTATTTTATGCTTACCCACGTCTTCTCATTGCGCTAAAAGAAGATATTATCTTTGAAATAAAGCACCAGTAAGACTCCCCCATAAAATGAAACCCCAAGGCATCGAATAAGTTATGCTGTAACAGGAAAAGATCCGTAAAGGACTGAGAGAGCACCCCAGCATTGAGATGACAGACACATGCTACCATAGCCAACTTCTGGACTTGGGTTCTGTGAGGAAACTCATGTTTGCACAGCGAACATGTCACGGACTGAGCCACCTATCTCCCAGTCCACTGAGTTCACTGCATCCTTACTAGCATCCGTCAGAACTGGAGGCATCCTGCACTTACAGGAGGCTCCTCCATCCCATAAATCACAGGAGTTACAGAATTATGTTCAATATGATTTGGTACCTGGTACCAATTTTGTAAAGAAAGGGACTGATGGGTCAAAATAGCAGAGGTTATTTAAAGCAACTGGAATGGGAGGTGGAACATAAAGAGATCATTCTAGAAATGAATCACCCATAGCATAGAGTGGCTTCCACTCCTCTCCAAATAGGACTCATGTCACTACCGACTGTTCCAGCTGCACAGCTGTGTGGACAATGGCGCGACCCTAAAGCAGGTGGCAGACAGCCCCAGGACCAGTCCTTACCTGGAATGTTGTGTATAGTGATGGCCAGGATAAGCAGAGCAATCCTCCTCCAGCTGCTCACCCCAGGCTGCCCGGAGTTCCCTTGCACAGCCCCTGAGGGGGCAGTGCCCTCTGGGAGGCCAGTGACTGCCACCTTCTTCCTCTGGTATACCTCACCATTCTCACTCTTGTCTGAAAAAAGAGCAGAGAGAGAGAGAGAGAGAGGTTGTAAAAACGTGCACTCTGCAGCTGGGCAGGCAGCAGCAAGAGGACACCTCCAAGCCAGGGACGATCCTACATCTAGACGGCCACAGACCGAGCATCTCCTCTTGCTGGCTCAAGCACCCCCTGGGACAGTCATTCAGCAAGGACTCAGGAACTAGACACTGTTCCCGGAGTCTAGGCTCTGAGAAGGATGCAGGTGCCACATAAGGAGAGGGAGGCTGAGGGTTGTTAAGGAGCATAGATTGTGAAATCAGGCCATACATTTTTTATTTCATGACCCTGCCACACACCAGTTGAGTGATGCCTGCTAACCAGGGGTTCTCACTGCTCTGTATTGTAGCTTCCTGATTGAAAACACTGCAGCAATAAAACAATTTCTGGAGGTGAAGGGGTTGTAGGGAGTGAGAGAAGTCTTGGGTGAGTGGGTGTTGTTGACATAGGTGCTGGTCATGCCAAGTACCAACACTTCAGCCCCATGGGAGTCCAGTCGTATATAATAACCCTGCCTCCTTCTCCAGACGTATATAATAGCCCTGCCTCCTTGTCCAGCCGTATATAATAGCCCTGCCTCCTTGTCCAGCTGTATATAATAGCCCTGCCTCCTTGTCCAGATGTATATGATGACTTCCACTCTGTTCAACTCTCTACAATAAATGTGCTACGTTTCTGGGGTGCTATAGCTTCTGCATGAGAGAGCCCACCCTACCCCATCCCAGCTTTTCTACGTCGTTGTCTGTATGTCTGTCATTTCTTCGTTCTGCCTCCACTCCAGTGAGAGCATTCCCTGGAACCAAGCAAGGACATGGCAGAGGGTTTGTGACGATGCAACAAGAGAATGCACGGGAGTGCTTGAAACAGTCTAAGTCCTGAATATAGGGATTGGTGTTGTTGGCAATATGTTCCCTTTCTCCCAGAACCCTCCAGAATTATGTATGTGGCCCTACTCCTGGTCACCCTGAGACTCAAGGGGAACAACTCAGATGTCAGGATCAGCCAATCAGAGTCCCTCTCCTGGGATGCAGGGTGACTTGCAGGTGTGGGCGACTGACTTAAGAGCAGCTGTAGCAGATGGACAGACGGAAGCAATGAGTTCAGTAAGCATATAGCTAGAGACAGACAAAGAGACAGAAATACATAGTGGTCCAGGTCCCGAAGAACACTCAGGGACTGAATTTCATATACTAAGCATCTGAAAAGTCCCCACTTTGATTATCAGTATGACGTCTCAGAACCCAAATTCCAGCCTTGGGAGGCTGAGGCAAGAGAATCTCAGGTGCAAGATCAGGCAAGGATACATAAAACACTCTGTCTCAAAAAAAAAAATATTCCCTGGTTTACACTAGAGAGAGTCGCTGTTTCTTAGACTGTTGCCTGGTGTTTCTTGGATGCCTGGAGATCCTTGACTGTGGGAATGTGAAAGCTTCACACTCTGGGATGATGGATATGACACTATGTAGTCCATGCCCTTGACTGAGGGTGACAGGGACCCTCAACAGTCCTCCTTCCCATCTCCACTCAGAGGACTTCCTTCTAAAAGTGGGGAATTCCTACTATGAAGGGAAGGCGGAACTTCCTCAGATCCAGGTTAGGTACACCAGGGAGCTGGTGAGATACTTCAGCAACTGAAAGCCTTTGCCAATCAAACCCAACAACCTGAGTCTGATGTTTTGAACCCCTAGTGGAAGGAGAATACTGACCCCTGGGAGCTGTTCTCTGACCTCCATGCTGTGGCCTATGTGCCCTGCTCCACTGAGATCACATACTAAAAATATATAAATAACATTTAAAATAGAAACAAAGCATACCTCTGTGGTCTCCTGGCCCTCGTGTGTGTGTGTGTGTGTGTGTGTGTGTGTGTGTGTGTGTGTGTGACACATGCACATGTTACTGACCCTTGGTCACAGCTTTACTGTCAGACATATTAGGCAGGCTTCCTGGATGAAGGCATGTTTCTGGGTGCCTGAGGCAGAAGTGGACTCATACATCTTAAGTTGATAACATCTAGATGACTTGGACTACAGAGCCTGACCAGGGGTCCCCAGAATTCCCAGCCCCCAGTCTAGAGGCATAATGGGACACTTGAGGGCTGTCCAGGAGTCTAGCTCCTGCTTCCTCTTCCCAGATACCAAGGCTACAATTCTCTTCCCTGCACATCCAAAGACGACACCTGGAAGGCACAAACTGGAGCCAGAAGCTGAGCAAACTGTCTGTTACCTAGACACAGCTGCCTCTGTAACACGACAAGCCCTGAAGTCCTCTTTGTGGTGGCGGCAAACCATTTTTATCAGAAGCCACTTTCAAAAGCACAATGGAAGCCACAATCCACTCTGCAGCCAAGCATGCACAGATGGTCTGGAGGCCTGACTGTGTCCTCAAGGATTCAAGACACATCTAGGGAGGTGAATTTGGAGCTAGCCTCCTCTTTCACAGCCCATAGGCCCGGCCACACGAGGACACAGATGGTTTGCGCTCCCTGAGAGGGGTGACTGGTTGAATCAAATGGGCCCAGTGATGGAATCTCAGGCCCCCAGTGAATACAGCAATGCTAATTAACAGATCATCAGCCAAGAGAGAGAGAGTGAACAAAACCCCCAGATCTCACTGGAGATGAGTTCATTAGGGTAACACAGCAGGCAGAGTCTCACCTACTGCGTGCACACAGCTTCAGAAGTCTTTGTTTCTAAGCCCTGTTACAAAACACAGTAACAGGGATGCAGAGTGGCTATGTACTGTGTGCATACGGACAGCACCGGCAGGCAAACCACAAGTATGGAAGAAGAGGCCTGGGGAGACAGCAGCTCATTCGACACCGCAATCACTTTGTACGTATGAGGACCTGAGTTCAGATCCCCAGAAGCCTTGTAAAAATCTGGCAAGAGGCTGGCAGGATGAATGAATGCCAAGTTTGATTCCTAGGACCGACATGGTCGAAGGAGAAAACCAAGTTCCGTAAGTCATTCTCGGATCTCCAAATACACACCATAGCATGTATGTGTGCTTGTGTGCATGCGTGCGCACACACACCACACACATTAAATTATATAAATAAATGTTATCGAAGAAACGCAAGCCCAGCAGATACCTGTAATCCCAGTGAGAGCATGATGGGACATAAAAACAGACTCGAAGACCCTCACTGGAGTTCCAGAACAAAGAGAAAACCTGTCTCAAAAACGTGGGAGGCGCCTAAAGAAAGACCAAACCCCACAGTTGTCCTCTGACCACTACACATGTGTTATACACATATAAGCATGCACATACATGTGTGTATGAGGGTTTTACCTGCATGTATATATGTGTACCATGTGCAGACACTGCCTACTAAAGGTAGAAGAGGGCACTGTTTCCCTGGAAACCAGAATTACAGATGGTTCTGCGTCATCATGTGGGCAATTAGAACTGAACCCAGGTCCTCTGCAAGAGCAGTAAGAGCACTTTAATTGCTGATCCATCTCCCCTGCCCTCAGAACCGAACTCTTAGAGAGCCCTGTTACAATGTGTGGAGGCTGAAAAACGCAGGCCCGTTTCCACCTGTCAGTCAGAGCGTTTGGAGACTGACAGGCATAACTGTGCCTCCTAATTTAGAAGGTGGTTGCTTGGCTCTTTTGAAGTTAAGATTGCTTGGTGCCATCCTGATGGGTGGTCAGGATATGCAAATGTACTTCTGCTCCTTTCTTTTGTAATGATGAGGTCACCTAGGGAAGGGTGCTTCTCAGTGTCTGTGACCTAGAGTACCTTAGCTACCTAGACTACAGAATGCTAATGATCTGATGTCTCAGAGATGACTGTATGAGTTACCCTTTCTATCATGCTAATCAAGTCTTTTGTTACCTTCTCCCCCATTTATGCTGGGTATAAAAGCCGTGGAAAAATAAACACGGGCAAATTTTCAGGATTTCAGTAATCACTGGAATGCCCTTCCGATACTTTCTGTTTTCTGTCTTATCATTTTTATGTGCCTTCATATTCTTTACTTATAATCCCTTCAATTCCCACGTCTCTACCCTGGCAAGCAGTATTTTTGTTGAGGCAGGTACTTGACAACGATGCATATATATGACTGTTTCTAATTAATCTGATTCTCTGAGAACAATAAGGAAGGGGAAATATTAGTGGATCTTTTTCTTCCATGCTCTCTGTGTGTTTATACACATAAAAAAATTAAAGGTGGGTAGACAACATGTATCTGTAACCACAGTGTTGAGGAGAATCTCCATGGCTCACCAACAAGTCAGCCTGGCTGAATCAATAAACTTCAGATGTGATGAGAGACCCTGTCTCAAAATCTAGGGTGGAGAGCAATTGAAGGACACCCACGTCAACAAGTGGCCTCCGCATACACATATGCACCTACAAATGTGGACACTATATACATCATATATAATTATATATACTAAAGAGCATGCGTCAGAAAAGATATCCTCATACCCCCAACACAGCTTCTTTCATCTGTATTTGCCCAGCCCCTTGTCCAGCTCCTGAATGTGGATTCTGTATTCTTGTGTGTCTGGAGTCGGGGCTGTGTCACTGCAAGGAGAAAGGATGAAAGGACCACATGTCTGCCAGAGGAAATTGTTTACTCCTCTACTGTTGAGATAAAACACTGTGACCAAGGCAACTTATTTAGAAAAGCATTTAATTGGGCTTACAGCTCCAGAAGGTGAGGGTTCATGATGGCAGAGCGAAGGTATGGTGACAGGAACAGCAGAGAGCTCACATCTTAAACCTCAAGCAAGAAGCAGAGAACACACGTGGAATGGCACAAATCTGAAAATGAACAAAGCCTGGCCCCAGTGGCACACCTCCTCCAACGAGGTCACACCTCCTAATCCTTCCCAAATAGTTCTACCAGCTGACAACAAAGTATCAAATGAGATGAACCTGTGGGGCCGTTCTCATTCAAACCACCACTCTCGACTATCAGCCTCAGTCGGCTGGTGCTACCGCTGCTCCTAGTTTCCTTGCTA